TCCATTTCGAGATCCTCATTTTAAATAAAATTCCGCATCCCCCACGTCTTTAGCGCGGAGCGAACCCGACTTTGGTGCATATTAAATATCGGGTTGCTCGAACGCAGTAGGCCCCCGCCCGCCTTATTGACCACCACGCCATAACTTCTTTTTCTTTTTATTTCCACCCCATTCGATAAAGCCTTCTCGTCTTTTTCATCTGGGATCTTTCCCGGAATGTATCCTTTTTGAAAGGCCTTCATCACGTAGGGCGTGGTGGATTTCGCGTGAGCGAGATATTGCAGATTTTGCGCAATACTCAGGCCGGCCAAGGCATAGCAGGTGTGATAGGCGTCGTGCGCGTGGCCCGGTTTATCCATCAGCCCGCCCACTTTTTCGTCCTGACAACATCGCAAAATATACTCCTGAAGTTTGGTTTGGTTGAAGAGAAAATCACCCTCGTCGGGGTGGGTGGGATGGACTTCCGGAGAGGGTTCGTTGTCTTGGTTTGAATTTTCAAAGTTCCGCGCAATTTTTTGCCGCCATGCTTCATGGGCCCGACCCTCCAGCAGAGCCTCGTCGTTGGCTGAGAGAAATTGTTCAAGGGTGGTTTGTTGGGTCTGATAAATTTCCTCCGCAGTCCCCCACGCTGTTTCGCTCTGACAGGAAATTCCGTTCACGTCGACCAATTGAACATAATCCAAAAGAAGTATTTCCCGCGCGCGTAGGCAGGACAAAGGGGGATGATCCTCTTCCATGTCAAGTTTTGTGTTTGAATTTTTATGTGGACAGGAGGGCGAACGCCGCGGCCGCGCACTCCCCGCGGCGAGCTCACCCTGAGAGAGATGAAGAAGTTTGGCGTAGCTCTCGGCGGCGCGCAAAAGTGCGAACGACCCCCCCACCCAGTGGGCATAACAAGAATCCACCAATTTATTCGTTCGCCCGTTAAACCCCCCCTCAAAGCTCAATTGTCGATTCGCCAGCCACCGGCGCAGACGCGCGGGTTGGATGAGATGTGGGGCCTTCATCAACAGCAACGCGGCCAGGGCGCAGTGGGTGTAGGCCCCGTGGGCCTCCGCTGCGAGCGTCGCGCAGGCGATGCCGCCCTCGAAGGTCTGACAGCGCGCGATAAAACGCGCCGTGGCAGGGGTCAAGACGCGCGAATCCCCCCCCTCCGTGTCCTCCCAGTCCTCGCCGGGGGCGGGGTCGTCGAGGCCGAGGAGGGTGGTGAGGACGGCCGCGCAGTAG